CCTTTTGTTGTTAGTTCCTTATGCGTTGTTTTTGCTTCCAGTCAAACTCTGCTCATGTTTGAAACCCACACTTTGTCGATGTACGGCTTAGACTTCCTCATCAGAGAGAAGGACAAAGTCCGGATCTGTGGAAGAGCCACCTGGATGAGGGCGTGAGATCTTTAGTAGTATCCCGTTTGAGCAAAGGTTACCAGATATCGTGGAAATCCCCTCCCATCAATAAATGCTACAAAGAAAACTTGATCAGCATTTTGCATTCTTTCCATTTGTAAATATTAAGATAAGAGGACACTACTTAATTATTCTTCCATATTGGTTCAATAGTCTGCTGTTATGTAATCTGTATATCTGTTGTATTCTCTATACATAAATACATTTGGGGCTAATGCTAAATGGGTACAAGTGAAACAAGGTTAAAAGAGAGAGAGAGAAGGAAATCTAAATACCGTTGTAGCACTTAAAGTCTCCCTTTTACGTCTCCTTCCTTTAGCTTTAAATGCCCTGTTATAAATGTTCAAAAAGGATTATGACACCATCTACCTGGCTTGTTGGTTTTTATGTCCTCTTAGCAGATATCACAAAGCCAAACATTAACCAGACACAGCGTGTAACAGCATCCAGTGTGAATGTATTTAGCTCAAATGATCTATGAAAACTTTACCAGATTGAGAATAATTTGTTCACCACATTTGCTTTGATTGCTTCTATACGACTGAGATCACCCTTCCAGAAAGTAAACCGAGGAGCCTGCTGAACAGCAGGAAGTGGCTACTGTACCATGTCATTATTTTGGGATGGTTGTACTATAAACAATGTCTCGTTAAAGTTGCCATTTTGCTGTATTTAAGAGGGAACTTTGCTCATTCAAGCCGCTATAACGTCTATAACTGGTAGAAGCTTTGCAGATTAAGATCTTCAAATCCAAAAATATGACAAATCATAAAAGCATGACGTTACACACCAGATTAAATGTATAAAAACCTGATAAAAAAAAAAGAAGCTTTTTTGTCACTACCCAAAGCGGCAATATTATTCAAAAGTGTAATACCTTAAGAAAATGTTGAGAAAAGCCTTGAGTCATCCCTCATTTCCTTAGTTTTTATTTCCAAGGAGCCAGAACTTTTTTATGAGTGGTTTTGAGTGATAGTTCTCCAGGCTTTCTGGCGGTCTATCAAAGTTTTTCTTTAGAATTGGCTACTTTTTCACTCACTTTCAGTTCAGTCCTTGTTTGTGACCATTATCAGAAGAATGTTTTTGTTTGCAACGCTAATTAAGAATGACCTACGAGTCATTCAAACATTAAAAAGGCCCCTGAGTCAAGGGATGAATCGGTGTTGGGTCTACACATAACAGACAACTTGGCAAAGGACCCGATTGTGTCTTTAGGCACTTTGTTATAAACAGCCTGAGACAAAGACATATAATTCTTTCCTAGAGGTGCTGTTTGCCCTGAGGCAAGGCAGATAACTGCTTAGAACCTCAAGCCAGTGAAATGCCTCCAAGTGCTGACAGACTTCAAACAACAAAAATGGCATTAAAAAAGCAGACATGGAAAATGCTGAGTGGCTCACAATTGGTCATGGATTGGAGCTAAACATTATTGAAGCAATGTGGGATCCTGTTGACAGAGAACAGAACAAAAGGCTATCAACATCCAAATAAGAGCTTTGAATGTCCTTCAGGAAGCCTGGAGAACTATTCCTGAAGACTACTCAAAGAAATGACAGGAAATCTTGACTAACAGAGTTCAAACGGTGCTGAAGAATAGAGGTGGTCAAACCAAATATTAGCTTTCAAGCTCATTCCAGTTGTTTAGACTTTAGTTTTTCCTTCTGTGCTGTATTTCTGTGTATAATTGCACGTTTCAATAAATCTATTTCCCATCTTTGTCACAAAATATAAAGAAATGATAAGTGTGGCTGAGGTGTGAACCCTGACTCAGCTGCAGGGGAGGGGCGGTGCAGTGAGCTCAAGGGTGCCAGAGAGGTTGGAGGGACAGGTGGATGTGATTGTGCTGATGAGGATTTCCCTTTTTTTAGTGATGTTGGACAGCAGAGGGCAGGAGAGGGCACAGCTGACTGGAAAGTTGGCTGCCATGTGTGCCAAGCCAGGAGTGTGCAATAAAAGCTAAACAAAACTGAAAGACGGTGTGTTGGGTCGGAATCATTTACAGTGCGTAGTTTAACACAATGCAGGGGACTATATATAATAAAATCTCTTGTATTCAAAAGATTCAAATAGGGATGTGTCCAGGAAAGAAAGGATTTTAAAGCAAACATGCTTCTCTTTCTTTGTCTGTTAGACAGACATAAAAATAATAATACATGTTTGATGAGCAAGTCATTTATTTTGTATGATTTTTAGTTGAACGCTTTTTTCTGACGAATATCAACATTTTCTCAGTCGAAGAAATAAAAAAATGAGCGCTGGAAATTGACCACCTCCAAAATAAAGAGGATACACTGCTCAGAGGCTCTGGCTGGAGGAACAGATGTTTGTCAGATTAACAGTTTAACTCATCACTGTCACATAGATTTGTGATACATTAAATTTGACATAATTTTTTAAAGGTTTCTAAGTGTAAGTGACTCAACAGACACACGTTCAGTGCCTGCTCTGTGACTTTAACACTACAGTATGTTGTGCTGATCTCATGCTTGCTGTTGTTTAACTAAACCACTGGAGGTCAGCTGTGTTTCATTGAGCACATTTATCATTTCTGGGGAGCTGATTTGCAATTAACTCAAATATCTCTCAACCTCCAGAATCAACAGCAAAAATAAACAATGTTTTAACAAAGTCTGTTTTTTTATGAGCAGACATTCACATACCAGCCAGTTCACTGGAGACACCTGTTCATCTTCTTGTTAACATTAACATGTAATCAGCACATCACATGGCGGACACCCCATGCAATGAGATTCAATTCAATTCAATTTTATTTATATAGCGCCTCACAAAAGTCGCCTCAAGGCGCTTCATAGATACAGAGAAAAACCCAACAATCATATGACCCCCTATGAGCAAGCACTTTGGCGACAGTGGGAAGGAAAAACTCCCTTTTAACAGGAAGAAACCTCCGGCAGAAACCAGGCTCAGGGAGGGGCGGGGCCATCTGCTGCGACCGGTTGGGGTGAGAGAAGGAAGACAGGATAAAAGACATGCTGTGGAAGAGAGACAGAGGTTAATAACCGATATGATTCAATGCAGAGAGGTCTGTTAATACATAGTGAGTGAGAAAGGTGACTGGAAAGGAAAAACTCAATGCATCATGGGAATCCCCCGGCAGCCTACATCTACGAGATATTTACACATGATCACGATAACATGCTGAAGTTCACACTGAATATCAGAATAGGTTGAAAAAGGTGATTTAATAGATATGTATGTATATACTGTGAACACTATACAGATGCAATTTGAAAAATTTGAATATCATGCAAAACTTCATTTATTTCAGTAACTCAACTTAAAAGGTGAACGAAAATATGATATCGATTGGCAAAGAGAGATATTTCAAGCCTTTATTTGTTATGATTTTGATGACTATGGCTTACAGCTTATGAAAACTCCAAATTCAAAAGCTCAGAAAATGTAAATATTGTGAAAAGGTTCAATATTGTAGGCTCAAAGTGTCACACTCTAATTAGCTAATTAATCCAAAACACCTGCAAAGGGTTCCTGAGCCTTTAAATCAGGGGTGCCCAATCCTAGTCCTCGAGAGCTACTGTCCTGCAGTTTTTATGCATCCCTAATGGTTTGATTACCTCTTCAGCATGCCATCCATCAAGTTTGGCAAAGGCCTGATAACAAGCCATTCATTTGATTCAGGTGTGTCAAAACAAGGATGCATCTAAAACCTGCAGGACGGTAGCTCTCGAGGACTGGGATTGGACACCCCTGCTTTAAATGGTCTCTCAGTCTGGTTCAGTGGGAAGACTGCTGACCAGAAAAACCATCATTGACACCCTCCATAAGAAGGGAAAGCCCCAAAAGGTAATTGCAAGAGAAGCTGGATGTTTCCAAAGTGTTGTATCAAAGCACATTAATAGAAAGTTATGTGGAAGGGAAAAGTGTGGAAGAACTGAACAACAAATATCAAAAGCATCTTACCTGGGATAAAGAAAAAAAGAGCTGGTCTGTTGCTCAGTGGTCCAAAGGCCTCTTTTCTGATGAGAGCAAATTTTGCATCTCATTTGGAAACCAAGGTCCCAGAGTCTGGAGGAAGAATGGAGAGGCACACAATCCAGTCTGTATTTTCCAGTCTGTGTTGATTTGGGGAGCCCTGTCATCTGGCTGGTGCTGATCCACTGTGATTTATTAAGTCCAGAGTCAACGCAGCCGTCTACCAGGACATTTTGGAGTACTTCATGCTTCCTTCCGCAGACGAGCTTTATGGAGATGCTGACTTAATTTTCCACCAGGACTTGGCACCTGCCCACACTGCCAAAAGTACCAAAACCTGGTTCAATGACCATTGGATTACTATGCTTGATTGGCCAGCAAACTCATCTGACCTGAACCCTATAGGGGCACTGCCAAGAGAAAGATGAGAGACATGAGACTGAACAATGCAGAAGAGCTGACGGCCGCTATTGAAGCATCCTGGTCTTCCATAACACCTCAGCAGTACCACAGGCTGATAGCATCCATGCCATGCTGCATTGATGCAGTAATTCATCAAAAGGGGCCCAAACAAAGTACTGAGTATATATGCATGACCTCTTCAGAGGTCTGTGAGGATCTATGCTCACTGTACTCACAGTCCACAGATCCAAATCCAACAGAGCACGGTTGGGATGTGACAGAGCAGGAGATCCATATCGTTGATGTGCAGCTGACACATCTGCAGCAGCCGAGTGATGACATCATGGAACTAATAAAGTGCATTTTACTCTTATGGCTCAAAGACGAGCATAATTTGTATTTTTGAAAGGATTTCACACAAATTCACAGTCACGCTTTTATTGATAAAATAAACATGCGATCACAGGCTAAATACAGTTACGTTCAACAAGCCATAAAACAATTCAGACCCAAAGTGCAGCAGCAGCATCCATTTCAGAACAAACCCATTACTTTACTGCCTGCTACAGACCCTGGTGGGTCTGTAGCAGGCAGTAAAGCTGCTTTAGCTGGGTCACAATGCTATCCTTGATGTTTTCCATCGAAATCTGGAGGCGGATGCTGCCGCTGTCAAGTGATCGCGTGTTGTCGTCACTAGAAAACAGCTCACTTATCATTCTGGCCACCACTGGAATGACCTGCAGGGTGAAAGAGGGCCGTTAAGTGTTGGGAAAAGACATTTCGCAAGCTTATTTGTTTAAAAATTTCAAGATAGACCACTTAAATTATGTTACACATTTCTTTACCTGGACCATGATAAGTTTCCTCTCCTTGGGTCTTCCATCTGGCCACTCCTCCCCGAAACACAGATTGATCTCATAGTCAGGAGTGATTGGTGCCTGACCACGCTGTTGAGCTATCACACCTGCACAGCAAACAAAAAAAATATATATTTATAAAAAAAAATGCTTTTCCACAGGTGCTCAAACTCATTTTACATTGCAGGCCACACCTGCCCACCTTGATCTTAAGGCATGGGCCAAACCGCTGAAACTCCCATTTTTGTCAGTGTAAAGATGCTTAACTACACATTGCATCTCATTTATTAAAAAGAAGTGACATTAATACATACCAGCGAGAAAAGACTCAAGACAGAACAGTTTGACCTTCCTCTGCCGCTCTATGAGATTCGGAGCAGCTGGATTTGGAGCGCAGGGGCCAGACCAGTACACCTTGCACTGACAGAGACGGACTGCGTAGATATCGTGGCCGCTGACCTCCAGGATCAGACCTCTGTCCATCACGTCCAGAAGGCAGTTAGTGAAGACCCTCTGCTTGTCATTGGTGATGTGCTCCGTGGTCGGAAAGCGTAGCTGTTCCAGGTTCACTGGGCCGAACAGCTCTTCCTGATTGACCATGGGCCCGAGGTCTCCGTAGAACAGCCTGCAGCCTAGCGGGTTGCTGACTGTCGCTGGAGGACACATCTCCTTCCCTCTGTAAAGAAACTGCACCTCTAGGTCTGTCACTGGGTCAGAGATGAAGGTGGAAGCGTGTTAAAAAGGAAAATGCAATAAAACTATATTTTAGGTAAAAACAGAAAAAGAACTAAGCTTAATTTTTGAAAAAGGAGAGGTCACAGGGAAGCAGAAACTTCAATTTTACGACCATGGTGCACATACTGGACACATATTCTCAATTAATTAATAAAAAGTTCTGGTTATTTAAAAACAACAACAGGAATAGTGACATCTTCAAGCTTAAAGCAGAGGAGTTGAAACTATCTTTTTATAAAACCAGCAAGTATTGCTGTCTAGAGAAGAGGTTTTCTGATGTTATATTTTCCTAATTTAAACCAATCAAATGTCATGAAGTTCAACTGCACTTGGGGAGCTACAGCAGGTATCCCCTACACCTCAGCCTGCCACAACAAAAAGCTCAAATTATTATTTTAAGTTGAAGTCTGCCAAGCAAGCAGGTGCAACAGTTCACACTCACTTGGAAGGGAACTGATCCACATTTTGGGAGAGGCAAACAAGCCGTCGGGCAGGGGAGGGGGCTGCAAAGACGGATCGGGCAGAGTAACTGGGGACATGTCGTGTGTCGTTTGCTGCATCTCCACATCCACGGGCTCCTCTTTAGGCCAGGGTTTAACAGGCTCCTCTTTGGACCAGACCTCGTTTGATGGGGGACAGCTGGGAGGCTGCATGGATGACTCAGAACCCATCGGAGACCACATAATGAGAGGAGAGGGGGTGCCTACACGAAGAAAATAATTCATTTACTGTTAATAAGCAATCAAACTGGACATTGCAGAAAAAATTAAAGATGAACGAAGAAAGACGAGAGCGAGCCGCATTAAAGAGCTCTCATTTACCGTGGTTGCTGAGGGGCTGAGGGATGTCACAGACATCATATATCTTCCAAGGATTCATGGGGATCTCTTTGGTGCCGTCATAGACGAGGTTGAATTCTCTGCTTTTGTTCAGGGCACATCGAAGCTGAGCTTTCCACTTTGCAGGATCAGGTTCGTCAACTCCCTCCTGGAACTTTCCGGTCTCCACAGCCCATGCCTGGGGGAATATTTAGACCAAATGAAGGGATCAGTATCACACAGTTATTTTAATTTCTATTTATGCACAGTATGCACTCACAAAAAATAAATAAAACCAGTGTTCTTTATTTACTGAGTGATGCTGGGTCAGCATGTTTGTCAGGAAACAGCTGTATAATGTATTCACAGCTATGTCAGAATGAAAAGACTCAAGCCCAGAGGCTCAATTTTTCACGAGGTACACACACCTCGTCACAACAAAGTTTATGCTGATCAAATTCTGTTTTCTTTTCTTTAAAAAAAGTTTACTTATTTATTTTTTTTTAAGAAAAGAAAACAACCTCATGAGCCACAACCTTTTCCCTTTATGCCTCTCCTGTTTAATTTGGTAGGTTTACAGAAGAACAATAAAATAAAACACCTACATAAAATTTCATTCGACAGGACCCAGAGAAACAAAATAGAACTGGGCTGCAAAGCCAGACGTTTTATTAAAAGTCCTACTTATTATTATTATTATTATTAGAGGGTATTTTTTAAAAGGATATTAACCAGGAATGAATTAGCATAACCCCTGCTTAAACCTCCTCACTGTCTCTGCAGAAGTACAAGTTCTGATCAGGTATAAGGAATAAAGTCACACACACAGGCAGACACCCCTCTTTTAGTGAATCTTTACCTTAAAGATGGTGTCCTCATCCTCGTGCTGGGGTGTGTGCCGTGTGGCGTGTTTCCATGGGATCCTGAAGCGCATGTTCTCACGGTCAAGCCACGTCAATCCCGGGTAGCGCCCGCTTTCCACCTGCGCGACCAGCCAGGGCTTCAGGCGGACACGCCGAGGGGTGACTGCCATCGTCACTGCCGAGAAAACCCAAGTGAAATCAGTCCACCCTCAGAAGTCTTAATACCCTAATACCCCCCCCAGCTGGCAGGAGTTTCGACGAAAAAAACAAAACAATGCACACAATGAGTTTGTCTGGACGGTTGATGATGATCCTATCACCATTAGGAGCCAAAAACAGGCCGACAATATCAAACCACTCCCTGAAACTGCTCATGGACTGCAGAAAGCGTGTCAATTGGCCCGCTTTTGTGATTTTTCCCGGTGTTGGCACAGCATACATCATGTGCTTGTTGCTTCCTGTGTGATGCTAATTGTGGGTTGTTGTTTTTTTTTGGTTTTCTTTTGCTTGGGGCGATAGGGTCAGTTTACTGCCAACTGCCTGCAGTATCACCACGATCTGTCTGATCCAGTGCGGTTAACAGATGTTTCCAGTTTCTCCCAACATAAATGTGACCTTAGGGGCTGCAAAGGGTTTAATAGATGATTTCATAGATAAAATAGTGGGAGGCACTCCAAGAACTGAGATACAAGCAAAAGTCATGCGCAATCACTCATTTCTTTATATGTAGAAGTGGAAATTGGGAATAGATGCAGCAATGTGTTCTAAATTGTACCTTTAGCTACTTAGTTACTAGCAGCCTGCTGCAAAAACACATAATTTGTTCCAATTTCTTTAGTTGAAGCTATAAAAAAAATGCCAACAATAAAAAAACAACAACTATCTACATCAGATGAACAGTACCTGAAAGTCATGTCCACAAGAAATAAGTTTTAAAAAAAAAAGACATGACACAGGACCTGAGGGATGAATTTGAATCTTCAGTTGATCCGTCTCCTGTTCACTGAAATCCAAATTACACAAGAACTGGAATTCAGTGAAAGTCAGTGGCAACAGCTGTTATGATGTGAGGAATCCAAATTTGAAATTCTTGGTTCAAATCATGTTGAGTGTGGGTATGGTGTTAGGAGAAAGGTACAACAGTTCTGAAGACTAGTTAAAAATTACAAAACAGCTTGCGTAAGAGAGGGTGTTCATATGAAAATCATCCTGCCAAATACTGACTTCCAAGCTTCAGAGAACTGTCCAAATTCATTTTTGCCTTAGATACTGTTTTTACATTGTATATTTGCAATGATTCAATAAAATGCTGCATTTTTCAGCATGTCGGATAATAGATTTAACAAAAACACTGGCCGGAGTATGTGTGAGTAAAATGCAATGGAAATATATTAAATAAAATGTTTATTCATTCACATAAATAATCATTAAGGACATCCTGCTTGGTATAAACTGAATGTACCAATCAAGTATTTCATTCTACCGGATTCCATTAAAATGAAAATTTAAAAACTGTTCAAAATTGGTGGTAAAATAGTGCAGCTAGAAATCGGTTTCTCTGTGTACTCTTTTTGCTTCATGAAGATATCACCACAACCTGGGATGCAGTCGCTGCAGTTGTGACATTTGGTTTCATTTCACACATCGGTCATGTTGTCTTCTTCTGACTTCCTGGAATTACGGTGAATAAATATGACACAGGAGATCCGGGTTAACAAGTGACTCAAACTGACTGCTTCATTGTTACATTCGTCAACCAGCAGGTGTCAGCTTAGTGTCAGTTATCGCTGCTTTATATAATTCTCCCTCTGTAGGCATTATTGAGCATTTTGGTTGTTATTGATAGGAAGTATTATTTATCAAAAAGGGTGTGGATTTATGCAACTCTTTATGTTTACTCAAAGCTAATGCATTCCTCCTTCTTTTCCTTTTTTCTTCAATATGTCTGTGCTTAAAAAAAAAAGCAAAATAATTGTAACATCAAAGCTGAAAAATGTAATCATGGTTCACGAGAAAAAATAAATAATCGGAACAAATTAGCAAAATATCCAGAAGTTGTTGAGATAGTTCAGTTTGGAAGAGGCGATGTTGTAATTCCTACTCGAATGGTTGAAAGAGTGAAAAACTTCATTTAATTTTATGTTGATAAAACAGCAGCATAAACTATAAATCAGGACTGAGTACGCGTGGATAATCTTCTTCCTCGGGTTGTAGTCCTGTCACTGTCCCACAGGTGAAATCAGGGCCACAGCTGGCCTGAAGTCCCTCAGCCAACACAGTGAGTCTTCTGCTGCTACTGTTTTTATGCAGATGTTGATAAGAACTACATTCAAGAAGCACTCAGAATATTTCCCTATAATAACACATGTCTTTTCTCCAGTCTTCTCTCTGTGATCTCTCAACTTACCCATTTACTGCGCTACTATCCAAAATAATACCACATGTAATAGTGATACGCTGTATTAAAGGGGGTACACCGTGTTCTAAGCTCTCACTTAGCAGCAGGTATGCATATAGTTTTGGTTTCATTAGACTACTGCTTCCGTCACCAGAGAAGGTTTCTTTAACAAGGAGAATGATACACTAATAATCAAATTAGCCACAAGAAGCACCAACTTTCTTTGACATACCTCATTACACTGAAACAGGTTTTGAAAAACTTCATAGGAATGCAGAGTAGACAAAGTGAGCTTTCATGAATTAAAAGAAACTCATACATAAATACACAAAAGTCACTATTCTCAAACAATAGAATGAAAGGACAGTAACAAATGGAGATAGAGGTATATATATAACAGCCTCCTGACGACACACAGTGGTGAACAACAAAGATTTGAACTAAAACTCAGCATCAGGATTCACACCAACAGTGCCTTCATTCGTCGGGAGAAGCCGCAGATCTTCCTGTGAACACTTTTCGCAGTAATAATGAAAATGAAAGCTACAGTGTGGGTCTACGATGCTGCCATGCACCGAAACTGCTTCGTTGCACACATTCTTTGATTCAGTAAATTTTAAGATCTCATCAGTGCTTTCATTTCCACTTCCAGCCAGTTTACACCACATCATAATGGAATGCAAAAAATATTTGTGTTTTTTAGGTCTTCATTTCCTTTTACTTCAGTGCCTGTAAGCCGTCTGTCTTTTCATGGTTCATAGCTAAAGTTGCAGTGGAAGCAAGTGGAAAAAAGGAAGAAGCTCAGTTAAATAAAAAACAGCAATTTGTGATAATTGGTAACTAAGACACCACACAAGAGAGGAGCGGAGGACGACACATGGTCACAGAGACAGACACAAAAAGTTCACCCAGCCAAGCAGGACCTGAACCACTCCAGTGCTGTGCCCCTAATGCCCACCCGGTGCTCCAAACAAGAGAGTAAAATGGCACAATCCACTGTATCAAACGCAGCCATCAAATCTAAAAGCATATGAACCACACAGTTCCCAGCGTCAGTAGCTAAAAATATGTCATTAAAAACTTTTAAAAGGGCTGATTCAGTGCTATGTGAGGGTTTAAAACCAGATTGGAAAACGTCTAAATCATTTTCCAGGAATGTCATTAATTAGCTGTGAGCTATCTTTTCAAGAATTCTGGAAAGAAAAGGTAGTTTGGAGATAGGCTTGTAATTTGCAAAAATTGCAGGATCAAGAGCAGGTTTTTTAATCAGGGGTTTGACTAGAGCATGTTTAAAATCTTTAGGGCATCAAACTAACATCAGACTGTGTTTTACCAGCTCAAGAACCAAAGGTACAACTGCTGGTAGCACCTCTTTTAAGAGTCGAGGAGGGACATTGTTTGGAGACCCTGCAGGCTTAAAACGACCAAAAATCTCCTTTAAAGAGAAGAGAGTCACGGGCTCAAACCTGTCAAACACAGCAGCGCAGGAAGTAGAGACCGAGGGGTCATGAAGGAGAGATTTGAGACCTGTGGAGGAGACCTTCACAATAAAAAAGTGTAAAATATTTTCACAGGCTGCAGGCGAGTGCTCGATACAGTCAGTATGTGGTAAGAGTACTATGAGGTCTTTAAGGTAAGAGCTCTATTGTGTTAGTTGTACTTCTCTAGATCGTAGCTGTTGTTGGATATCTATTGAAACCTTTCTTTAAATTTAACATTTGAAAGAGAGAACCTTGAAGATGAGCACCGAGGCATCAATCAGTTCATCTGTTTCAGCAGCTAAATCTTAACACAAAAACACCAGAAAACATATCAAATAGTGAAAGGAATCAGCAACAACAAAACACAGCTAAGTGTTGGACTCTATTATTATATACAGTCTCCTGTTTTTAGAAGCACAAAATGATGTGAACAACCTGAAGTAGTTTTAAATGTAAGGTCTGTGGGACATGTGGGACAGTTTGAAGTGTAGAACCCATGGACATTACCAAGTGCTGTGTTTCCTTCACTGAGATGCTCCGTTGGGCCTTTTACTGCAGCTACCTTCAGCTGCTGCATTCAGTTTTGAATCTAATAAATAAAAAGCACGCTCTTTGGGGCTGGAATCAGATAGCCGACTTGGCCACTGAAGAATATCCCATTTCTTTGCCCTGAGAAACGATTTCTTTTTTTCCTTTTGTGTCATCATTCACTCACACTGTGAAATACTGTGTAAACTGTTTTGCGGCATTTGGCTGAATTTGAGCAGAGAGTATAACCCTGTATACTTCACAATCCACCCTGCTACGTCTATCAGCAGTCACATGATTAATAAACACTAATGACCTTGCTCCACTGGTTCCATTTTAGCGTGTACATGACTGCTGATTTGGCCACTCCTTTTTCTGTTTCTCAGACTGGTTTATTTTGATTGTTCAGCCTAATGATGGCTTTCTTTACTTACATGGACATGTCTTTGGACCGCATGTTTAGAATTCCAGTTAACAATAGCAAATGAAAGTTCAAGACCTGAAATCAACTCCAGATCTTTTATCTGATTAGTTAGTTTGAAATAACAAGTAAGCAGGCTTTACTTGACCTTGAAACAGTTTATCACTTAATTGTCCGAGTACTTCTGAGAACGATGTATCTCCAATAGTTAACTCAGAAATTTAAACCCACTGAATTAAAGCTGAAAGTCGGCACTCCAATTAGATATTGATTATCTGGTCTAAAATCCACTGTGGTGGTGCACCGAAAAATGTATCATTGTCCAAAAATTAATGTATCTAACTGTGTCTGTTG